AAGGGCGCTCGGCTGGCTCAGTCAGTACAGCATGCAGCTCTTAATCTTAGGATTGTGAATTTGAACCCCACAATGGGCACAGAGAATACGTAAATAAATAAATATTTAAAAGAGAGAGAGAGAGAACTTTGCTTTTAAAAAAGTCTACGAACAGAGAAAGCACACCCTGAGCAAATATGAGCCCCCATACAAAAGCCATAAAGGCAGATTCATCTAGTTGGAGGCATTTGCTAGCATATGCAGTTTTAATCCAAGGTGACTAACAGCACAGCTGTTTGCAAAAAAAAGATTGTGAAGAATTACGTATTGTAAGAAATTTAACAATTTTATGTTTCTGCTACCTAGAGGAATCTATACATTCAACGCAATCCCTTATCAAACTACCATCAACTTATTTCACAGAGTTGGAACAAGTAATTCTAAAATTTGTATGGAACCAGAAAAGACGCTGAATAACCAAAGGAATGTTGAACAAGAAAACCAAGACTTGTGGCATCAAAATTCTGGACTTCAAGCTGTATTACAAAGCTGTAATCATCAAGACAGTATAGTACTGGCACAAACACAGACACGTGTATCAGTGGAACAGAATAGAGAACCTAGAAAGGGACCCTCAACTCTATAGTCAACTCATCTTCGACAAAGCAGGAAAGAATATCCAATGAAAAAAAGACAGTCTCCAACAAATGGTGTTGGGAAAATTGGACAGACACATGCAGAAGAATGAAACTGGACCATTTCCTCACATCATGCACAAAAAGAGACTCAAAATGGATGAAAGACCTAAATGTGAGACAGGAGTCCATCAAAATCCTAGAGAGAACACAGGCAGCAACCTTTGTGACCATGGCCCCAGCAACTTCTTACTAGACTCCTCCCCAAAGGCAAAAATGAACCATTGGGACTTCATCAAGATAAAAAAGCTTTTGCATAAGAAAAGAAACAGTCAATAGAACTGAAAGACAACTGACAGAATGGGAGAAGATATTTGCAAATGATATATCAGATAAAGAACCAGTATCCAAAAATCTATAAGAATTTATGAAACTCAAATAAAAGAACAAAGAACAAATAATCCAGTCAAGAAATGGGCAGAAGACATGAGCAGACATTCCTCCAAAGAAGACATACAAATGACCAACAAACACATGAAAAAATGCTCAACATTACTCAGCATCAGGGAGATAAAAATCAAAACCACAATGAGATACCACCTCACACCAGTCAGAATGGCTTAAATTAACACATCAGGAAAGGAAAGATGTTAGCAAGGATGTGGAGAAAGGGGAACTATCTTACACTCCTGGTGGGAATGAAAGCTGGTGCAGCCACTGTTGAAAACAGTGAGGTTCCTCAAAAAGTTGAAAATTGAACTACTCTATGACCCAGCAGTTATACTGCTGGGTATTTACCCCAAAGATACAAATGTAGTGATCTGAAGGGGCACCTGCACCCCAATGTTTATAGTGGCAATGTTCACGATAGCCAAACTATGGAAAGAGCCCAGATGTCCATCAATAGATGAATGGATAAAGAAGTTGTGGTATACATATACAATGGGCTGCTACTCAGCCATCAAAAATGGCATCTTGCCTTTTGCAAGGACATGGATGGAACTAGAGGATATGCTAAGTGAAATAAGTCAGAGAAAGACAAATATCATATGATCTCACTCATGTGGAATTTAAAAAACAAAACAGAGGATCATAGGGGAAGGGAGGAAAAAATAAGACAAAATCAGAGAGGGAGACAAACCATAAGAGACTTAATCATGAGAAACAGTTGTTGGAGGGGAGTGATGGGGGAATGGCATAACTGGATGATGGACATTGAGGACATGTGATGTAATGAACACTGGCTATTATATAAGACTGATGAATTACCTCTACTTGTGAAACAAATAATATATGTTAATTTAATTGAATTTTATTTATTTTAATTAAATAAAATTCAATTAAAAAGAAATTAAGCAATTTTAATTTTTGTAAAGACTATCAGGTAAATTTTAAACTGTGTTTCTAGCCTCATCTTTTTTCTTGTGTAAATTTCTTCTCAAGCAGGTATTTGTTTATAAGGAGAATTCTTTATTCATTTATGTCTTGTTTTTATACTTGATAACTGCACCTGAACATAGAATTTTATGGCCATAATTTCTCATGGAACTTACTACACTGTTGGATATTAACTTTTATTTTTGAAAATTTATCTATTTATTTATTGGAGAGAGAGTGAGAGTGCGCAAATGTGTTTGAGCATGGGGCTGGGTGGGGCAGAATGAGGGAAGAGGGAGAGAGAAAATCTCAAGTAGATTTTCCACTGAGTGCAGAGCCCAACAAGGGGCTTGATCCTGGGAATCCGAGATTGTGACCTGAGCCAAAATCAGGAGTTGAATGCTTAACCGACTGAGCCACCAGGTGCCTGGACATCCACTAACTTTTAAATCAAATGTATTTAAAATACCAACTTTTATGTATTAAAACTATTTTTAGTAAGAATTTATGAAATGTTTGGTACACCCGTAATAAATACCTAATTTGCAGTTGATGGGTTTATTTTGTTTACTTGTTTTTGGAAGAAAATTTGATTTCAAGTCAGTGCCTTTTGAAAAAATACTTTTTACATATACTGGATAATGGTCTTATTTGAATTCTGCAAGATCATAAATACTGGAAATGAGGTGTCGGTCTAAGGAGAAAATACTGTGATTATGAGGAACATGAGGGATAAGCAAAGCATAGGCGCAGTCTAGCAGAAGGTGTTTTGGGGTTTTTTCCCCATACTTAGAAGTCTTTAAAAATAATTTTTGGGTTACTGGACTATTTTTTTTTTTTTTGAGTTAACTCATTGGCAGTTCTAATTACCTTGCAAAGGCAAGGCTTTTTAAATTCACATGGGGAAAAACTGCCATCTTTTTTTTTTTTTTAAAGGATTTTATTTATTCATGAGAGACACACACAGAGGCAGAGACATAGGCAGAGGGAGAAGCAGGCTCCCTGCAGGGAGGCTGATGTTGGACTCAACCCTGGGACTCCAGGATCACGCCCTGAGCCAAAGGCAGACACGTAACCACTGAGCCACATAGGCGTCCCAAAAAACTGCCATCTTTTGATTGGAACATTTAGTAATGATCCCTATTAACTCTACACTGATTATTCACTCTATATTGCTAAGTTGTGAGGCTTAGCACTTTGACTTAGTTTCTTTACATTTGTTAAAACTCACAGTACTCTAGTGCTATTAAATCATTCTGAATGAATGTATTAAAAGATTTTATTCTCTTTGATTGCCTTTTGGTTTTTTTTATTATATATTTTAATCAACTTCATGTTCATGGATTCTGGCTGCTATGTTTTAGTGATTAAAATTCTTAAAGAAACATAATTTTAAAGGACCTGTTGCCTTCTAGATGGTGAATACTCAATATTTATTGGCTGGTAGTTGCTTTGCTTTGATTATGGCTTTGAAAGACGAATCTTTTTTTTTAATGGTTTTTTTTTTAAGATTTTTTTTTTAATATTTATTTATTCATGAGAGATACAGAGAGAGAGAGAGGCAGAGACACAGGCAGAGGGAGAAGCAGGCTCCATGCAGGGAGCCTGACATGGGACTCAATCCCGGGTCTCCAGGATCACACCCTGGGCTGCAGGCAGCGCTAAACCGCTGCGCCACCAGGGCTGCCCTTTGAAAGACAAATCTAATTGTTCTTTTAGAATGTAGAAAAGTGGTACTCTGAAATTATAATAATTTATATGGATGAAAGATATTAGTGTTTTGTTTATTTCTCCATAATTTTGCTAAATTTTAAATAAGAATTTTCCCAAACATTGGTTTATAAGTAGTCTATCAGGGCAGGGAATATTTTATTAAAACCCATAATATATTTAACTGCAGCTAAGACTTTGACATTATAAGAAGAGATCATTAGATTTATATAATTAGTAAAAAGTAACACTTAAATAGGTATTTGTAGGAATAGTTTTTGTTTTTTTTTTTTTAACATGAATGTTTCCATTGTTTCCCTACACCCAGGAACCAATTTGTGGTTATTTATCTAATTTCCTTCCTTAAATAATTTTCATTTTCTTATTTTCAGGGGTTGCAAAGTCTTATTTACAGAGGCCATGCAAGAAGGGCAAATGAGAAAAGCAGGCTAATGTGATAGAAGAAGGGATGGTGGGCCTGAGACAAAATAAAATTCTATGAATCGTTTAAATATATATAAATTTCTTTAAACTGCTGTGTTCTCAAAACAAAAAAAAAACCTCTGCCATGTGACTTTGGAACCTCTAGTTTATCTTCATTCAACAATAACAAATTAGAACATTTGTATGTGGGTTATTTTTATTTTTTATTTTTTTAAAGACTTTATTTATTCATAGAGACACACACACAGAGAGAGAGAGAGAGAGAGAGAGAGAGAGAGAGAGAGAGAGAGGCAGAGACACAGGCAGAGAGAGAAGCAGGCACCACGCAAAGAGCCTGACATGGGACTCGATCTCGGGTCTCCAGGATCACGCCATGGGCTGCAGGCGGCGCTAAACCACTGTGCCACCGGGGCTGCCCTGTGGGTTATTTTTAAATAATAAATATGTTTGTAATTATTGTGCTTATCTATCAATACATTTGTGTGGGCCACATGGTACTTTGATGTATTTTTTTTAAAAAAACTAAACCAAATGAGGTGAATGTTCTTACCTGATTCCTGAACCTTTTCCTCATGGCTAGTCTTAATCCCTATGTTGATATTCAAGGGTAGGATTGGAGTCATAGATGAGTGAAGGGTAAAGATTGTGTATCTTGACAGTTGTATCAAATCAACACTATAAAAAATATGACTTAAAGTCTAGCATTGTAGAGTTTGGAGGAAATTCATATTTTCCAGCTTTGTTAAAAATTCCTTTATGTTGGGTTCATAAAACAACAACAAAATATGAATTAAAAAAGACTATATATCTCACCCTATTCACTGGTCTAAGTATTTATGCATTTTGCCTTTACAGCCTGAGGAAGAACTTGATCCTGAAGAGAGGGACAACTTCCTCCAACAGCTTTATAAGTTTATGGAAGACAGAGGTATGTATTTGATGGTCATTATTTAAAAGCAGTCATTTCTTTTACAATTTTACATTCTAGGTTCGTGAATTATTTTTGTTAGAATCATGGGTATATGGATTTGGATTTCAAGTAAAGCCTAAGGATCAGTTAGAATTGGAATAAGTATTTGGAATTAAAAAACTGTTAATATCTATTTTGAGCAGAAATATATAGGTTGTATGGGTATAATTATACTTAGTCTACTTGGGACTTCTAAAACCAAAAAATATAATAATATTTCAGTGATGGAAGATGAACAGTCATAATATAATCCACATACCCATTAGTTATTTTTTTTAATAAATTTTTATTGGTGTTCAATTTACCAACATACAGAATAACACCCAGTGCTCATCAAGTGTCCCCCTCAGTGCCCGTCACCCATTCACCCCCACCCCTTACCCTCCTCCCCTTCCACCACCCCTAGTTCGTTTCCCAGAGTTAGGAGTCTCTATGTTCTGTCTCCCTTTCTGATATTTCCCACACATTTCTTCTCCCTTCCCTTATATTCCCTTTCACTATTATTCATATTCCCCAAATGAATGAGAACATACACTGTTTGTCCTTCTCCGATTGACTTACTTCACTCAGCATAATACCCTCCAGTTCATACCCATTAGTTATTAATGCTATCTTTGCAGCAAGTAAACTAGCCTGATCCTTGGTCTCCACAAATGAAACAAAATAGATCAATTCTTACCTAAATTGAATAGGGTTTTTAGTAGACTTAAATTGAAATACAGCCTTTATAAATTATTCCTTTTGACATTACATTAGTCCTGGAAAATCCTCCAATAAACTGGTCCTAGGCATTCTGTGACTTTGAGACATCATCCTTCAGATTACTGCTAACACTCTTAACATTTGTGTTCAAGCAATGAAAATGAATCCATGCCCTAAATTGTACCCTTTCCATTGTGTATGTTCTTGCCCAGGCTTCTTGAACCAGAAGCATTGTTGGCTGCACCTTGCAGTTGTAAGTCTTAGTTGTACCTAATTCAGTCACAGGTGATTTTATTAGTTGAGAGAGACATGATGAGTCATAGATATAAATCTAAAGACCATCATAGTGCTGTATAAAGAATATAGAGAATATTTTGTGTTGTCTTACATAATTTAAGGTTCTTTAAATATATGCTTCTGATTAATAAAACTTGGGAAATTAGAAATTGGAAAGTTTTGTATCGATAGCCTTGTAATAGCATTTTCCACTTAAATAAAAATATTTATCCTACTTTCATGTTAAAAAGGTACTCCAATCAACAAACCACCTGTGTTGGGCTATAAAGATCTCAATCTCTTCAAACTCTTTAGACTGGTTTATCATCAAGGTGGATGTGACAATGTAAGTATAGGTATAATGAAAAGTTAAATTATCTATGTTGCAGTTATATGCACTGTAGGTGATAAACACATTTTCTTAATGAACCTAGAATATTAGTGTAAAGATTATTTCCTTTTGTAAATGTTAACAAATAAAAACTTAATTTTCCAGATTGATAGTGGTGCTGTATGGAAGCAAATTTATATGGACCTTGGCATTCCTATTTTGAATTCAGCTGCTTCCTACAATGTAAAAACTGCTTATAGAAAGTAAGTAGTATAGTTTATTCATCAAAGAATACATATTACAGGAATATTTTCCATTTAATTTGTTAACAATTAAACAAAAACACATCAAGGAACATTTAGTTAGAGAAAGTATATAAAAAGTTTTAGGTTAATAGATATTAGTGACTGAACGTTATTTCATCACACCAAGTCTACTTTATTCCATTTCTCGTGTTGTCTTGATTTCCTTTTCAAAGTCTGGGATGTGGTACGTTAATAGTATGAAACAATGATACATGTTTATAGAGTTATATTACTTATGTTGAATAGCCTTCATATCAAAACTATTGTAGCTTTTTCAGGAAGAAATTTTCTGATCAGTATTTCTGTTTTGTTTTTTTAATTTTTTTAATTTTTATTTATTTATGATAGTCACAGAGAGAGAGAGAGGCAGAGACATAGGCAGAGGGAGAAGCAGGCTCCATGCACCAGGAGCCCGACGTGGGATTCGATCCCGGGTCTCCAGGATCGCGCCCTGGGCCAAAGGCAGGTGCTAAACCGCTGCGCCACCCAGGGATCCCAGTATTTCTGTTTATAATCCTGTATAAAGCACTGAGAAACTAGTAATAGAAAAAGTACTTTAAAAAAAGTCTCGAGTATTACTTTATAAAAATATGTGTGTTTAATAATATAGTATTTAAGTTAAATGTAAAGACAAAGATTTCTTAAAATGAAATACTGTTTGTTTAGGTATCTCTATGGTTTTGAGGAGTACTGCCGTTCTGCAAATATTCAGTTCAGAACTGTTCACCATCATGAACCAAAAGTAAAAGAAGAAAAAAAAGACTTAGAAGAATCAATGGAAGAGGCTTTAAAAGTAGATCAAGAAATGCCTTTAGTGGAAGTGAAGAGTGAACCTGAGGAAAATATTGATTCAAACAGTGAAAGTGAAAGAGAAGAAATAGAATTAAAATCTCCAAGAGTAAGTACTTAATATTAGTTTTACCTGGTTTATTTTAAACATTAAATTTTTATTATGGACATTTTCAGATCCACACAAAAATAAGCCAGTGAACCTAGTTTATTTTCCAGTATTGAGTTGTGCATTAGGCAGACTAGCCTGGCTATTTTTTTCTAGATATAGCACATCTTCTTTCTTCTACCTAAAATACCATTCCTCCTGTTGTTTTCTATTTATGTCTGTTCAGATTATTCTCATCTGTGGTCAGTCTCACATATTTACTTCCTTCAAGTCTTACTAAAAGTCACCTCCCTAAAGCCTGATCACCTTATCTAAAATTGTAACCTACCTCCTGTCTTTGGTATTTGCAATGCCTCTAATGTTACTCTTTTTATCTGCAATCAACTTTATATTCTCTTTATTGTATTTTTTTTTTTTTATGCTCCTCTGCACTAGAATCACACTCCATGAGGGCAGGGATTAATATTTGTTCTGTTCATTGACAGACCACAGGCATCTAGAATAGTGCTTCATCTATAATTAAGGACTTACTAACTAGTTGTTGAATGAATGATTTCCTCCTTGTAATATTTGTGCCTCCAGCTGGATGGGATCTTTTCTTTCTCACCCCATAGGACACTGTACATACATTTCTTGTGCCACTTTTTTATACTTTGTCTTATTTTCTAGTCCTGTGCATGCTGATTTTATCTTCTAACCTTGCTCTTCTTCTCCCTTAGTATATAATTCCTTTGTAGAGATTGTCATCCATTGTTTTTGATCATTGTTGAATGATGTCTACATGGTAGGATTTATCAAATTTTAGGAGAAAAAAATTTTTATCATACTATCAATGGCATTCATTTACTGTTACATCTTTTTTTTTTTTTTTTAAAGTTTTTATGTATTTATTTGAAAGAGAGAGTGAGAGAGAGAGAGAAGGAACAGAGGGGATGGGCAGAAGGAGATGCCCTTCTGAGCAGGGAGCCTGATGCAGAGCTCAATCCTGGGACTCCAGGACCATGACCTGAGCTGAAGGCAGACACTTTGCCAAGTGAGCCACCCAAGGGCCCCTGTTACATCTTATTTTTTAGTGAAATCATGTTTAGTCAAAGAAGAAATGCAATTACCTCTTTTAGTTGCTCAGAAACCATTTTTTTAAAACTGTCCATTTTGACCATCATCCAGTAAATGGAATCTTCCAATGAATTTCATTAAACATTCAAATTGGTTTGCTTCATTTCTTTTTAATTTTTATTTTTAATTTTAAAAAATTATGGTAAATACACATACTATGTATCCTCTTAACCATTTTTAAGCATCAGTTCTGTGGCATTAACTATATTCCCAGTGTTTTGCACTCATCACCACTGTCCCTTGCCAGTACCTTTTTCATCTTGCAAAACTGAAACTAGCCATTAAACAGTAACTCCCCATTCCCCTCTACCCCAGATTGTGGCAAAACCATTCTACTCTGTCTCTATGAATTTGACTACACTAGGTACCTCATATATATGGAATCTTACAACTTTGTCCTTTTTTGACTGGCTTATTTCACTCAGTATAATGTCTCTCAGGTTCATTCCTGTGTATGTGTCACAATTTCCTTCCTTTTTAAAACTGAATATTCCTTCCTAAGACTGATTGTCTCCCATTATATGTATTTTGGACATACTTTCCTGTCATTAAAGATGTTCCTTATCTTATGTAAATTATCTTCAGAGTACTACATAATATACATATACCATAAATTGACCTTCCTTAAAATTTTCTCCAATTTTTTATGATTACAAAAAGTGCTGCAATAAATATACTTGTAAAAATTCCTCCTCATTGGTCTGAATATAGAGGGAAGACTTCTAAGAATGGGATTTCTAGGGCACCTGGCTGGCTCAGTCAGAAGAGTATGTGACTCTTGATCTCAGGGTTGTGAGTTCAAGCCCCACGTTTTGAGATTACTTAAATAAGTAACTTAAGAAAAAGGTATATAGGTCTAAAGTCTGATAGATAGCAGTTGTTTTCATTCATTTACCTACACATATTTAAAGAACAGTTGCTCTGTGCATAGGATATAGAAGTATATAAGACCATCTCTGCCCTCATGGAATTTACATTCTAGTTCTTTGTGAAAAGAAAAATACACTTTTTTTCTAACTTTGAAGTTTATTTTTTTATTTTTTAAAGATTTTATTTACTCGTGAGGGACGGAGAGAGAGAAAAAGAGAGAGAGGCAGAGACACAGGCAGAGGGAGAAGCAGGTTCCATGCAGGGAGCCTGATGTGGGACTTGATCCTGGGACTCTGGGGATCTCACCCTGAGTGGAAGGCAGACACGCTTAAGCCCTGAGCCACCCAGGGGTCCCTAACTTTCAAGTTTAAATAGCACATAGGAACTAGGGAAAACATTTGTTACACTGCTGAAATACTAGTTGTTATTTTAGTACTCTCTAAGTTGTTGGTCCCCCCTTTTTTATTTTTAAAGATTTTATTTATTTACTCATGAGAAACACACACAGAGAGAGAGAGAGAGAGAGAGAGAGAGAGAGAGAGGCAGACACAGGCAGAGGGAGAAGCAGGCTCCATGTAGGGAGCCTGATGCGGGACTCAATCCTGGGACTCCAGGATCATACTCTGGGCCAAAGGCATGCACTAAACTGATCTACCCAGGGATTCCCCCTTCCCCCTTTTTTAAAGATTTTATTTGTTGGCCCCTTTTCTATCCTCACTTTATTCCCAAGTAGAGGGAAACTGCCAGTGTGTAGCGGTGGACCTGAAGGAGAATTTAGGAGAGAATAAAATGGCTCAACAGTTTCACAGTCAGTTGAGCATACAAGAGGCTAAATGAAAGCTTCTGGGGAAGAACAAATTACTGCCAGCCCAGTGAGCTCCAAATACTTATTCAAAGAAATCAGCTCACCTGTTGGCCATGGATGCATTTTAATCCTTTTATTTTTAAAATTTATTTTTATTTTTTTTTAGAGAGAGAGCAAGAATGCTGGGGTTGGGAGGTAGGCAGAAGGAAAGGGAGAGAGAATCTCAAGTAGGCTCTACACCCAGTGTAGAGCTGGACGTGGGGCTCAGTCTCACAACCCTGAGATCATGACCCGACCTGAAATCAAAAGTCAGACACCCAACCGACTGAGCCACCCATGTACCCCTATTCAGTCCTTTTAAAATGTAGTCACACAGAAATAGTAATAATGTAAATTTTATCTTAAAAATGGTAGATTAGATATCATAGAACTTTTAAAGAGCCCATAATTTAGGGGGCTGATTTATTTTTAAATTATTATTAACTTGCATCATTGATACTTAGTTAATTATTTTAGAACTTTCAGTGTAGTCAAGAAATATTAAAAGTGTGATAAAATAATGCCAAGTGAAATAAGTCTAACAAAGATAAATACTGTATGATTTCACTATATGTGGAAAATAAAAGCAAACAGAAACATACTCGTGAATAGAAAGGACAAACTGATGGTTGCCAGAGGGAAAGGGGTGTGGGGATAGACACAATAAGTAAAAGGGATTAAGAAGCACAGACTAACAGTTATAAAATTAATCACAAGGATGAAAAGTATAGCATAGGGAATATCGTCAATAATATTGTGATAACTGGTGACAGGTGGTATCTACACTTATCATGGTGAGCACTGCAGAATGTGTATAATTCTCAAATCACTGCGTTGTATACCTGAAGTTAATATAGTATGTCAACTATCTTTCAATTAAAAAATTTATTGTAGTCAAGAAATATTAAAAGTGAGATAAAATAATGTAGTCAACAAAGGAGGAAATTTTTATTTTTTCTGTAGCATGTAGCCAAGGATCATAGTAGACATGGACATAATTAATTTACATGGGTTGAAAGGAAAAGCACACAGTGGTTGATGGGCTGTCATTGTCACGTCTCAAGACAGAGAAACAGCTAGTCATTGCAAAGATTTGTGAAGGTTTAAGAATTTTCTGCCTTTCTCCCCCTTTGTTTGTAGTGATAGCCATTTTAAAGCTTTTACCCCTTCTACTAGGGACGAAGGAGACTAGCTCGAGATGCAAATTCTATTAAAAAGGAAATTGAAGAAGAGAAAACGGAAGACAAATTAAAAGACAATGATATTGAAAATAAGGATGTAGTTGATGACTATGAAACCGCAGAGAAAAAAGAAAATGAGCTACTACTGGGAAGAAAAACCACACCAAAGCCGAAGGAGAAGAAGATTAAAAAGCAGGAGGATTCTGATAAAGACTCAGATGAAGAGGAAGAGAAAAGCCAAGAGAGGTACTTTATCTTATATTTGTTCTCCAGAAGCACCTGTCTGGGGTACAGCAGTGCTCTGTTCCTGCTTAGAGATTCAGGTTTGAGGGAATGTTTTCTTATTGGGACTTCCATTCCTCTTGTCTAATGAAGGTGAGACACATTGTGAAGATGATGTGTATCGCCTTTCGGAATTGGAGAATATACTGGTCGCACCATTTTAATAGCACTTGTGCCCTAAACAGTGGCCTCAAAGAAGGCTGCGCCACCCAGTCAAAAGAAAGGTCCTGCAGTTGACAGCAGGGAAGGGAGCTGGAGAAAAATGGAGGAAGTGGACAAGAGGAAACAGCGACAGCAAAAATTCCATTTTAAAAAAGGTACAATGTGGGAAAGCTAACAAACACATGGGTGCACAGTACTAGCCAATGTTTCTGTGTGTTAGCTTGATCTAAGACATTTTTCTTTTTCAAGTTATTGTATTGGAATAAGTGGCATGCACCCCTGATTCTAGCTTGGAAAATACATTCTTGCCCCACATCACACCAATAAATTTCAGTTTTTTTAATGTCCATCCTGTTTGCTGTTGAGTGTTGGTATTTTTTTTTCCATGTATTATACATGTATGGACTGAACTGACTTAAAAATAACCAAAGATGAGGCAGTCCAGCTAGATCAAAGTAATGTCCGACTGTGTTTAGTTGGCCATTTATGTGTTGTCAAATGGATTTACTAATTTTTATATGCTACTAAAAAATGAATTTTAATTCAGCAACAACAGCATAACACATTTTCTTGTAACATAAACTCTTCTCCATAGTAACTTTTCAGTTATTACATTATATGATAAATTTTCTAGAAATCTGAGTTGTTAAGCAAAATTGGGGAAATAGCCTGCTGCATCCAGTTAGTGGCTGATACCCATCTGAAAATTAACCACTGAGAAAATATTTAGAAAATGAGGGATGACTGGTGAGTGGAAGAGGTAATTTTATGTATCAGTACAAATAGGTACAAGAGCTGTTCACAATTATATGTGAATTAGATTTGTAAATAAATAAAGTTCTGTAGTGAAATAGGATTAGTATTAGGTAAACTGGGAGGAGATAATTAGAATTGCATATAATGATGCGAGTGTAGTATTTCAAACATTTGGACAATAAATTTTAAGCAAAGGTGAACCACTAAAAAAAAAGTAGGGCTTAATTATAGTTTGAAGTTTTGTTAAAAATAAACATCAAAATATGTGTTATATGTATATAATAAAACAAGTAACATATGAATATAAAATATATGGCTTTAAAAACCTTTATAGTTGATATGTTAATAGAACAGATACTTATTTTAGAGAAAGTTTCACAGACTTGAATATGAAGAACAATATTCCCTTTTATTAAAGAATGAATGTATAGAAAAACATAGTCTGTATTCTCATTCTGTAACAGGAATCATGGAAACAGATTTTTTTTATCTGTCGTGATTTCTGTTTGAAATACTAAGTTTCTTAGTATTTTGAAATTGCCTTATCCGGATATAATTTGGAAGGAGTCCTTTGAGAAAAAACATTCTCAGGGCAAATGGGGTTGAAAAAGCTTCTTCCTGTTGGTTCCCTAGTGGTCCCCAAATTAATGCCTATGTTTATCAGAGCACAATGTCTCTTCTGAAGCATTTAAAACTCTAGGACACTAGGATGATCTGTGGTGCAAATATCTTCTGAATCCTTGCAGGGTTAATATAGAATGTTTTGTTTGTAAAAATAAGTGAAATATTGTTGGACCTCCCTATGTCAATCTCTTTTATACCTGATTATTTGAAACAAAAGCTATGAGAGAGGAGTAAAAACACATAGAAATCAATACAAGCTACACAGAGCTTTGTTCTCCTGGTGCTATTCCACAGTTTCAACACGTGACCTAATATTCAAATATCTATTGTTTCTTTGTTAGGGTAGAGTGACCTTTAAAATACAAACTAGTTTAAAAGATAGTTACTAAGGTACATAGTCCTTGTCCGTTATTCTGCCCACTAAAATTTAGTTTTGAAGAACCATGCCAAATTGAGCAGAGTAGTAGATTTAAGACAGTTTAGTTGCAGAGTACAAACTATCTTTAGATAATTTGCACATAATAAGGTGGCACTTGAGTATGAATCCTAAAGACTTTTTCAAAGCATATGGATCTTTTAACAAAAATGATTAATCTGACTCTGCATCATCATTAAATGTGATCATTGATTGGCCTTGAAGAAATCTAGATTTACTTGTGGTACAGTGCACCTTTACATAACAAATAAATTCCTTAGTAGGTAGTCCATAAAAATCTTCTCCTTCTCCTCCTTCTTCTCCTCCTCCACTGACATGCTATTAAGGTAATACTTAGGTTTTGACTATCCTACATGTTGGTTTCTTTTAGCATATGTTAGTTTGTTCTCCATTAAATTATTAGTAGCATTATCAATATTGTAACTTGCCGCAGGGAAGAAACTGAAAGCAAATGTGACTCTGAAGGGGAGGAAGATGAGGAAGACATGGAACCCTGCCTAACAGGAACCAAAGTGAAAGTAAAATATGGCCGAGGGAAAACGCAGAAAATCTATGAAGCTAGTATTAAAAGCACTGAAATTGATGATGGAGAAGTTTTATACTTGGTACATTACTATGGATGGAATGTCAGGTAAGCAAAAAATGTATTTTCTTACTATTGAAATTTCTTTGTATGGTTCAAACAGATTAGTTTAATGTTGTGGACTAAAGCAAATGGTATATAGATTATTTACAAAGCACGCTTTTTATTTTTTATTTCTTAAGATTTCATTTATTTGAGAAACAGAATGAGTGAGAGACAGAAAGAGAGCACACGAACAGGATCAGAGGGAGAAGCAGGCTCCTCTGCTGAGCAGGGAGCCTGATGTGAGGCTCAATCCCAGGAGCCTGAGATAATGAACTGAGTCAAAGGCAGATGTTTAACCAACTGACACCCCCAAAAGCACACCTTTTATCTGAATTCTCCAACTTTCAACATCCCCACTGCTTTACCAGCTATGTCAGTACTTCTGCCCCACCAAGATCCTATCTATAGTTGAATAGGTTGGATTTATTATTCATTTGCAGCGAATGAGAAAACATAGTATGGGATACCATAGAGCCTCTCAATAAGAAGTCGTTAGCTGAATAATGTGAGTCCAAGGCACTGCCTCTGAGGACAGCAATAGCTCAGGATTTTGTGGAAACAATCTTGCAGGACATGGGCAGAGAGGCAGGCCTGCAGCTCTCAATAGTGCAGGTGGTTTATTATATTTATTCGAAGTCAAGCTTGTATCAAGCATTGTATTAATTCTAAATTGGTTAATTTAAAAATGTTAGAAAAAACTCAGATTTGGGCTTGGTAGGTGATTTGGGGAAGGGTTTAAGAAGTGGGCTTTGTTCTGGATTAGATATGGTCATGAAGTGGTGATAATTCTGTGATTGGTTATCTTAATCTTATATAGAAGGAGCGGAGACTAGACCTAGCTTAGTGTTGTAATTGGTTAAGAAGCAGCAGTCATTCAAGATAAAAAGGATGTTGGTCATTTTTGTGGCTTGGACAGTGTTCCTTATTTTCCTGTAAATGTTTAGACACTATTACGAAGTGGTCTTGGTTTTGTCTTGATCCATCATGGTCATGGAGCAGACTTGTCTGATGTTGATGTTCTGTGAAATTATTGATGTTCAACAGGAGAACAACAGAACCTAGCTATGAGTGCTGGATCAGCTCTGTAGCTAATAGTACTAGGCCAGTTCCTGAATGTCAGGGACTACTTTTCTTTCTCTTTTGGAAAGTCTTGTGTGCTTAATATCTTGCTTGCCCTGTATTTTCTTGGAGCCAGAGTGCTTCAAGGTTTCTCTACATACTGGAAGTGTGCTCTGTTATGTGTCAATTCCCTCACCTCTAAATTGGGGAAGATAAAATACCTACTTTATAGAGATATTGTTAGAAATACTGCTTAACATCCATATTAACATATAGAATGCTGAGAATAGTGCCTGGCATGTCGTAAGTGCTCAATAAATGTTGAGTGTTTTCTTTAGTGAAGGAGAGCTGGGTTTCTTTCATTTTGCATCATATTAAGAGTATAGGTTACTGAATAGCATATAAAACTAACATTTCTCAAACCAGACCCTGTGCCCTTCATACTTATGCCAATACTAGAAACAAACTTTTTTTTTTAAGATTTTATTTATTTATTTATTCATGAGAGACACACAGAGAGAGAGAAAGAGAGAGAGAGAGAGAGGCAGAGACACAGGCAGAGGGAGAAGCAGGCTCCATGCAGGGAGCCTGACGTGGGACTCGATCTTGGATCTCCAGGATCAGGCCCTGCGCTGAAGGCAGTGCTAAACCGCTGAGCCACCAGGCTGCCCAGAAACAAACTTAAAAAAAATGTTAAAAAGGAGTTTATTTACTTATTTTAGAGAGAGGGAGAGGGAGAGAGCATGAGCAAGGGGAGGGCAGAGGGAGAGAGAATCTCAGGCCGACTCCCTGCTGAGCACAGAGTCTTGATTGGGGAGGGGGGGTTCTTGATCTCATGACCCTGAGCCCTGAGATCATGACCTAAGCTGAGCCACCTAGGTGCCGCGAAACAATTGTGATTTAAAAAAATGTTTACCATTGAATGTTTATAGTTGAGATACAATGATATACATGTTTCAGGCAACATGACATGATTCAGTGATTCTGTGCAAACTCTTAAATCCGTCTCTAAGATCTATGCATGTATGGTTGAATTGGGTGGGGGTGGGTGGGACTATTTTGTCAATCCTGAGTCACTGTCTTTATAGTTGCAGCACATGGTACCCTTCATTTTTCCTCTGCTTCTGTTCAGTTCCTCCCCGTCCACTCTTTCTTACCCTCTTGTGAGTCTGTTCTTCTGTTCTGCTTTATAGAATGCCTCTTCTTTCATCCTTCTTGCTTATCTTTTTAATGTTTTACTATGACTTTTCTCAACAGTCATTTTCTTATATGGTCATGTTCTTCCTAATTGGTTATCTTCCCAACTAGTTACATGTTTTGTGATTTTTCATTTTTCATTTTCCTTCCATACTCTTTAAAACTAGTATAATTCTGGTCTGATTATTGAAACATAGTCACTGTAGTTTCTAGAGAATCCAGTTGGATTTCTAAAACTGGATAGCATTTGCAACTGTGAGGGAAGTCCTGGTATGAGTTGAGAAATACTGGGACCACCCTTGGTTGGCAGTATTAATGCTAGAGTACCTACATGGCATACTGTGGTGAGCAGGCCAGTGTGGCCTGGATCATGTGTATGCTAGATTAGACCTGTGCTTCTTGGTTGTCTGATAGGTCTTGTGGAATTTTGGAATTGGGCAGTTACTTCTTTTTTAGCATGGACCAGATATATAAATAACCCTCTTATTGCATTTACCAGACTGTACTTGATTTTACTGTATGTCTGTCTTTCTACCACACTGCAAGTTGCTCAGTGAGAACAAGGGCCTTCTTCTTCTCTACGTATTTCCTCATACAGTGTGTAGCACACTAGCAGGCCCACACTCAGTAAATGTCCAAATGAGTGAATATTTCTAAATAAGGTAATAATGTACAGACATTTAAAAGGCTTGTAAAATGAAAATATTGGGTCAGTACAGGAAGAGATAGTTTTCAAACCGTAGTATGGTCATGGTCCTGTGTCAACCAAAATGTGGGTATTAGAACTATGTCCTTACTTTGCATGGCACCATGGTAACTGGGTTACAGTCAGGATGTTTTTCATTAACATGGTGCAGTTCCAAGTAAAGACTGCCTGTAGTGTTTTTTGCTTAAATGTTCAGATTTTGGATTTTGATTGAGCTCTATAAATACTCATATATTTACATAGTGTAAGAACTGATCTTTAGTTCTAGAAAGTTTAATTTCTTATTTACTCCTGATTAGTAATTTGATTATGTTGAAATTTAAAAGTGATGTTAGGGGATCCCTAGGTGGCTCAGCGGTTTGGCTCCTGCCTTTGGCCCAGGGCGTGGTCCTGGAGTCCCGGGATCGAGTCCCACATTGGGCTCCTTGCATGGCGTCTGCTTCTCCCTCTGCCTGTATCTCTGCCTCACTCTCTCTCTCTCTATCATGAATAAATAAATAAATAAAATCTTTAAAATAAATAAATAAAAGTGATGTTAATATTTTGAAGAAGTTGTAGGGGAAATGAGTTTTCAATTTGAGCTAAACAGAATAAACTTAGATAAAGGAAATATTTCTAAAAAATTTCAGAGTTTTAGAGGTGACATATTTCAGAATAAAATTTTATTAGAAATAGTGGAGGCTATAGAGTTCTGGGAGGAAAACAGAGTTGAAAAGGACTTTATAAACCTGGAGGGTGCCTGGGTGGCTTGGTGTGTTGGGTGTCTGCCTTCAGCTCAGGTCATGATCAAGAGTCCTGCGATCGAGTCCCACTTCCAGCTTCCTGCTCAGTAGCGAGTCTGCTTCTCCCTCTGCCCCTACCTCTGCTTATGCACGTGTGCGCTCTCTCTCTTGCTCTGTCTCTCTCTAAGTAAAATCTTTAAGAAAAAGTAAACTTGGAACTGATCGTATTACAAATACAAATTCACCTGACTTAACTTTTGCATTATTTGGTCAATAGAGTGACAGTATAACCTAAGTATATTTCATTAAGCTCAGATCTGTGGAAAACAAAAGCAGTTCAGTCTTGAATCTGCATAGAGTTTGCTTACCTAGCTCTTCCTCTTACCTCATTTACCCTAAGAAATTCTTTTGCCTTCTTCTGTTGATGGCAGGTATATAAAGCACCTAGTACAAATTGGGACATATTACCAGCAAACCAACTCCTATGCTCTTCGCATTTCTGCCAACACTAGAACCAAACTCTTTAGTTTTCTCACTGTTATTTTATTTGGTGCATACATTTCAAATAAGGTATTGTGAAGTTTTAATTTTTTTCTTCAAGGTATGATGAATGGGTGAAGGCTGACAGGATAATCTGGCCTTTGGACAAAGGTGGACCAAAGAAGAAACAGAAGAAAAAAGCAAAAGTATGTATTTGCAATCATACCCTTTATGATAAGTATAGGTATTATTTATATTGTACTGCTTTTTTATAAATCCTTTTTTCTTATTGTAATAATCATCCTGATTCTTTTAAAGTAGTTGTGATTTTCTCTTATAACCCAGAAGCTAAAAAAGTAAAAAATGTAAACACATTATCATACTGTTTTAGGAAAGTTAAAAACCAGGGACCCCTTAGGATATAGACTTTAAACTCAAACAGGGGCTATACAGAAAAAGGGTAAAGCAGGGTTGATAGTGACAAAAAAGAGGATACATTCCTGATCAAGAGAGGGTGGAAGTCACCACTCTCCTGTGGGATGCCGGAATTTAGGATTTTTTAAGTCAACTCTCTGGAAAGCTAATACTAGATTTTAAAACACATACCTGCTCGCTAGTTGTTTTCTCATCCACATCCTCGATTTTCAGCTTTTGCTATAGAGATTTCACCTAGTGTTTTGTCTGTTTCATAGTAGGTATCTTTCTTGTCCTCAGGGAGTAGTACAGAACAAGGGGGAGTGCTGAGTAGTTGTTCATCTCTCTAATGCATGGACTCTGGCTTTCACAATGTAATTGCAGTATTATAAGCTATAAACTCTCATATTCATATAAATATAAACTATGTTAGAAAACTACTTGCTTTTAATGTTTCTATAAGCACAAATTAAGAGTTGACATATAAAATATATAATCTTTTTTTTTTTTAATTTTTTTTTTTTAATTTATTTATGATAGTCATAGAGAGAGAAAGAGAGAGAGGCAGAGACACAGGCATAGGGAGAAGCAGGCTCCATGCACCGGGAGCCTGATGTGGGATTCGATCCCGGGTCTCCAGGATTGCGCCCTGGGCCAAAGGCAGGCGCCAAACCACTGAGCCACCCAGGGATCCCTAAAATATATAATCTTTTTGAGTTACGGTTCTCCTTGTTGAAATAGAATGTTCATTTTTTCTAAAGCACTGGCCCATCTCATACATTTTGTTGTTGTTACCCAGAATAAAGAAGACAGTGAAAAGGATGAAAAGAGGGATGAGGAGAGGCAGAAGTCAAAACGAGGACGGCCTCCTTTAAAATCTACACTTTCATCAAACATGCCATATGGTTTGTCTAAGCCTCCAAACACTGAAGGAAAATCAGGTACCAGAAGTGCTCGCAGCAATATGCCAGACAGCTCACCTCTGTCAAATGGAATGGAAGGTGCTCAATTTTGAGGATCGTTGGTTTTTTAAAAATCAATAATATAATTAATAAAACTTGTGTGAGAGATTTATAGTCAGGTTTTTAATTTCATATAATTTAAACTACAAAATTTGATTTGAAGAAAGTACTTTAGTATATCATGTTAAAATTTAGTGATGTTTTACTTTAATTTGGGAATACTTTTCTTATCAGTATTATAAAAATACTCTGTTTTAAAGATGGGTTGACAAGTCATACATCCTACTATGTGCTACACTGTCCTTCAAAGCATACATCAGTGTCTCCTGTAATTCAATGCTGTTCACATAGGATATTTCAACAAAGCTGAGACCAAAGTGTTCAAAAAGCACAAACTAATGTGGTATAGGCATGTTTTGTGATGAGTACAGGTGAACATATTCTATTTTGCTTTTAACTTTTTTCCCACTCTTTTACCTTTGTATGTTTTTCCATGTAATTTAAAATATTAAATTGTTGTCTTATATAAAATTAGCCCTCCCTTCAGACCAAAGCTATTCTGAACTACAGAATTGACATTTGTCCATATGTTGTTTGTTTGGGAGTTAGAAAATGGCATGCTCCTTCCTCATTACTGCCATCTGCTGGAAAGTTGTCTTAATACACAAATGCAAGATGTCCAAGTGAAAGGGGTCTTTAGATAGCATGCACAAGGTACAAGTATATACATAGTATATACAGAATGTACAAGTATATACATAGTATATACAAAACTATACATAGTAGTCTTAGTCTTGCTCAAGTACCAGATAAAAGTTTTATTTTAATATGAGAACAAATGGATTTTAATATGTTTTCATATGGAACAAATTTTGTATATGATAAAAATCACAAAACCATACTACACCTTTTCACCAAAAAAATACATTTAAATTTGTCGTTTTGAACTTGTTTACAATGTGAGCACCACATGGGCAGAATTTTTATATTTTATAACTTATGTACAATCTTACAGCCCTACTTTAGTATTTGAAAAATTCTTTAACTTAAAGAGAATGATTTCTTTTCTAAGAAGGTAGCTTGCCTATAATTTTATGTCTTTTAATCAGAAGAACATTTAAAGTTTTGGGATTTCAAAATGCTCATTTTGTACATCTTTTCAGAATTATTTCTTTTTTTTAAATTTTTATTTATTTATTTATTTATTTATTTATGATAGTCACAGAGAGAGAGAGACAGAGACAGAGACACAGGCAGAGGGAGAAGCAGGCTCCATGTACCGGGAGCCCGATATGGGATTCGATCCCGGGTCCCCAGGAACGCGCCCTGGGCCAAAGGCAGGCGCTAAACCGCTGCGCCACCCAGGGATCCCTTTTCAGAATTATTTCAAATAGAATGTCATATTCCTTTCTAGGGACACAAAATGCCCATCACACTTATTAATCAGTACCTGTTAGATCAAAGCACTTAATATATTAACTTAATATCTCAGTATTAGTCCTTTGATTTTTCTTTTAGATTTATTTATTTTAGAGTGCATGTAGTGGGAGGAGCAGAAGAAGAGAGAGAATCCCAAGCAGACTCCCTGCTGAGTGTGGTTCTCAGTGTGTGTGGGGGGGCTTAATCTCATGACCCCAAGACCAAGATCATGATCCGATCCAAAATCAAATGTGGGACACTCAACTGACTAAGCCACTCATGTGGCTCAGTCCTTTGATTTTTCTAAGGATAACTATCACCTAAATATGATACTAGTGAAAAATGCAAAATAGCTCTTTTATAGAATTGAGACAGTAATATTTTCAATGTATTTTTACATGGAGTTTGACATACCCCCCCCCACTCGCATTTTTGGCACAAATGTATGATTTATCAGAAATTTCTACAGGGAGGTATTCAGAGGTACATGATTAAGAGTTCTCTTCGGTAGAATTTTTATTCTAAAATTACATTGGTAATTCAAAACCTGTGTAATGTAATTTTTTTTTTGCAGACTCTTGCTCATCTGATAGTGAAACAGAAGACCTTTTAGAAAAGAATTTGATGAATGAAGAACTTTCTCCTGATATTAAAGAACTAGAAAAAAATGAGAATTTAAATGATGATAAACTAGATGAAGAAAATCCAAAGATTGCTGCACATATTTTAAAAGAAAATGAAAGGACGCAAATGCAGCCTTTAGAAACACTGAATTTAGAAGTTGGAGAGAATGAACAAATAGTACAGATTTTTGGAAATAAAGTGGAACATGTAGAAGAAGTTAAGAAAGAAGCTGAAAAGTCTCCCAAAGGAAAGGGAAGACGAAGCAAAACAAAAGATCTTTCTTTAGAACTTATAAAGATTTCATCGTTTAGCCAAGATGAAGCAGGAAGTGAACCTCATATAGAAGCTCAAAGTCTAGAATTTTCTTCATTAGACAGTAAAAACTTTTCTTCTACTACCGAAGATGACACTGACCAATGTGCGAAAGAAAAAAAGCTGAAACGTAAAATACTGGGACAGTCATCACCAGAGAAAAAAATAAGAATTGAGAATGGAATGGAAATGACAAACAGCATCTCTCAAGAAAAGACCAGTGACTGTGTTGCATCTGAGGGAATGAAAAATTTAAATTTTGAACAACATTTTGAAATAGAAAATGAAGGAATGCCATCATTAATTGCAGAGTCAAGCCAACGCATTCAAGAATTAACTAGTGAAAAATTTGACAGTCCAGCTGAAGAAACTGTAAATACTCCACTGAAAGAAGAGGAGGATGCAATGCCTCTGATTGGGCCTGAGACTCTGGTTTGCCATGAGGTCGATTTGGATGATCTGGATGAGAAGGAGAAGAGCAGCATTGAAGATGTGGTGGTGGAAAGCTCTGAGTCTAACTCTCTTGTTTCTGTGCCGCCAGCCCTCCCTCCCGTAGTACAGCATAGTTTTTCAGTGGCTTCACCACTAACCCTCAGCCAGGATGAGTCTCGGAGTATAAAAAGTGAGAGTGACATAACCATTGAAGTTGAGAGCATTGCTGAAGAATCTCAAGAAGGTCTTTGTGAGAGGGAATCAGCAAACGGGTTTGAAGCTAGTGTTGCCTCCAGTACCTGTAGTCTGATTGTTCAAGAAAGAGAGAACAGAGAGAAGGGTAAGGACTTTCTTGGAAGAATATCAGCCTCGTATGTTCAACCCTCAAATTAGTTAAGAATTTTAGGAAATCCTGAGCTAAGAAGTTCCCTCCCTTCTCCCCTTCCTCATATTCATTCTTTCTTTCCTACTGCCCTCTCTCCCTTAAAAAAAAAAAAAAAGATGTATATATAGAAATACAAGTGGAGTAGACAGGTGCATAATTACAGCTGCTCTTGCCATGGCAGAGACTCAAGAGCAGAGTATGAACTGAGGTAGCTGGAGTTGTGGCAGAACAAGAGTTTAGGAAGTTTCTTCTCCTCTCTGACTCAGTTTTAGTTAAAAGGAGTTCAGCTGAAACTGTAACCAAAGGAGGCCTTATCCTTCCAAAAAATCTCAAGGAGAAGTATTGCAAGCAGCAGTAGTATTTAGCATGAAAGTTGGAGATAAAAGTTCTTCTCCCAGAATATGGAGGCACCCAAGTTGTTCCAGATAACAAGGATTATTTTTTATTTAGAGATGGTGACATTCTCAGAAAGTATGTAGACTGAATAAATCGTTATTGAAATGGCATCATGTGAAGGTGCCCATTCTACTGAAGTTGTGAAATCTTTCATCATGTAAATAATTTCCATGTCTCCCTTTAATAAACTAATCATATCCAAAATAGATACATATTTTTTTAAGTTGTCTCTTTTCCCTTGTTTTAGGTCAGAAAAGGCCAAGTGAGGGAAATAGTGGGTTAGTGGCAAAAAAGCAAAAGCGTACCCCAAAGCGAACGAGTGCTGTAGCCAAAAGTGAAAAGAACGGAACAGGTAGGTGCTTTCCAATGCTGGCTTTAGCATAATGCTAATATTTTCAGCATTTTGTTGGCTTCATCATTTGTGTCAGTTTAAAAATAAATTTGGTTTAGGGATGTCTGGCTGGCTTACTTGGTAGATACGTGACTCTTAATCTCAAGACTTGTGAGTTCAAGCTCCATGTTGGGTAGAATTTATTTAATAATTGTTTTGTAATGTTTGATTTATTATGTTCTGGAAATAGCAATTTTTCCACTAATTTTTAATCTGAAGAGGCTCGCCAATTTTATTTAGAGCTGAGATAGCTGTTTTTAATGCTTATTTCATTTGTATTTCTTATGTAAAGTGATTTAATATTGAGGAATATATTTGAGAATCTTGAATAATAGGAAAGTAATATTTGCTCTAGTAGTAAAAGCAGATTAAGTTTACATTTCTGAATGGAATGGTTTAATCTAGAAAAGCTGATTTCTGAATAGTATGGTATTTTTAAAACAGGCAAATAATAAGATTCTTATGGAAACAAACAAGGAACTTAGTAAAATCAGTATGAATTAGATTACATGAGAAAGACTTCTGTACAATAAGGAATAAAATTAAATCGTAGAACACAGTAGAAATAAACATCATTAATTTTGACAAAGTTTTATCTCCAAAACATGCCTTCATACAAGTCTGAATGGAAAATTCTAGGTTACAGTAGATACATATCCCATGGAGGGAGCATGTAATATATACAAGATAAAAGGCATTTCAAAGCAAAACCTTTGAACCATATATGAAGTTCTCAGTAGTCACATGTGGCCAGTGGCTGGACAATACAGATGTAGAGTATAGAGGAGGAGTGATGGGAAATGAGGATAGAGAAGCAGTAGGAATTATCAAGGGCAACTGAATAATATCCTAGTGTTTGGCAGGTACGTTTGTCAAACGATCAAAGTGAACATCACTAGTAATGTGACAAATGGAAATCACATACTATCACAGCAGCACATCTGTGACATTCCTGTCGAAGATGCATAAACCAAATATAATCATGGGGAACCATCAACAAATTCAAACTGAAGGATATTCTATAAAATAACTGGTCTGTAATTTAAGAAATTGCAAAGATCATGAAAGTCAAAGAAAGAAACCATTTCAGATTAAAGGAGACATGACAGTTAAATGCAGTATAGGATTCTGATTTGAATCCTCTTGCTACAAAAGACATTATTGGGACAAGTAGAGAGGATTAGGTGATAATATGTTTGTGCTCATTTTCTGATTTTGATTGTTGTATTATAGTTCTCTAAGTGTGTAGTAGTTTTAAAAACATACCTACAAATCTTTTGATACTCTCCCCTTTAAGAGGCAAAGTGTAATTGCCTCCCCTTAAGTGTGGGCTGAATGAAGTGCTAGAGTATGACTTCAGAGAATAGGTCATAAAAGGCACTGCAGGTTCTTCCTTGCTCTCCCTTAAATTGCTTGGTCTGGGGAAAGCTAGCAGCCAAGGCCTGAGGACACAGCAGTCTGTATTCTACCTGGTAAGGAACTGAGGCCTCCTGCCAGAAGCCATTTGAGTGAACCATCTTGGAAACATAGCCATCAGCTCCAGTTAAGTCTTTAGAGACCACAGCATCAGCTAAAACCTTGACTGCAATATCGCAAGATTCCCTGAGCCAGACCCCAGTACTCAGATACTGTGAGATACTAAACATTTGTAGTTTTAAACTAAGTTTGGGGCCAGTTTGCAGATAACTAACACAAAGAGAACGTTCTTGTTTGTAGGAAACGACACTGAAATACTCAAGTATGGCTGGGCAGCTTAACCTTCAGATGGGTCAGAAAAACATTTTTTGGCAACAGTTCTATAAATTTCAAGATTGCCTAAAAAGTTAAAAAGATTAAAAAGGAAGAAAGAAATTGTCAGTTTTACTTTGGGGACAATATTTGGCTGAATATTTGGCAAGGAGAAATGAATTAAAAGAGATGGGAAGTGAAATCACTAGGATTCAGTTATTATTAGTTACATATGAGGGACTGGTTAACGGACATATGGGATACAGGAGTAGCAGCAGATTGTTGGAAGAGTAATTTAGGGAATATGGAGCTAGAGGTATCCAGTATTAGGGGAATAGGGGCCTGGAGCTTAGAAGAGTCTGTTCTTAGAAGGTGGTTGTGTGAAGGATTGCAAGATGAGATTGCTATGGGAGAGATGAGATGAAAAGAAAAAACCAAGAGTAGAATTCTGTGAGAGATCTCTTTATGTGGGTACTGACTGATCAGTGGGCACTGATCAAATCACTAAACACTAGTGGGTTTGAATACGAAAGAAGTTTCAAATGCTATAGAATATACAATAGGATTAAAATACATTCACTGAATTTGGTGAATTGTAAATGTTTGGACTCTAACAAGAGCACAGGAATATGATTAGAAGGTGTGGAAATCAGGATAACAAAGAATTTCTTTCAAGAAATTTCACTCTAAAGAGAAGGAAAGAGGTGCCAAATAAAAGGGGAAGTTTTCCTCCTTTTCCCTCCCTCCCTCGGGGTAGGAAAAATATAAGCATGTTGGTAGACCTGAGAAAAGAAGTTGAAGATAAAAGAAGATAGATAACCAATATTGGGATATTCCAGAGGAGCAGTGAGTTGGATGGTTTTAAGAGTATAGCTGAAGAGATTAGTCTTCAAAAACATTCTCCTTTCTGAACTGCTTGCAAATGTTAATAAAGACAGATAGAGGGATCCCTGGGTGGCGCAGCGGTTTGGCGCCTGCCTTTGGCCCAGGGCGCGATCCTGGAGACCCGGGATCGAATCCCATATCGGGCTCCCGGTGCATGGAGCCTGCTTCTCCCTCTGCCTGTGTCTCTGCCTCTCTCTCTCTGTGACTATCATAAAATAAAAATAAAATTAAAAAAAAAAAAAGACAGATAGATACAGATAGAGGAGGGGCTAGGAAATTGTGTGTAACACTCAAGTTTGCTTTTTCAGTAGAAGGCAAGGTTGGCTTTTGAGAGTAAGCAAGTAGGGTGGAAATAGGGTATAAGAGATTGGAAAAAAAAAGTAAAACAATTCTGATTTGTTGTGAAGTGAAAAGCAAGACCATATCTAAGTACAAATTTGGTGAAGTACTATTTAGTCACTTTTGTTCTTATAAGCTTTATAAGGATCTTATAAACTTAAAATTCTTACAAATTTACAAACTTTAGCTCATTCTTTTTAGCAAAGTATTGAATAATATATTTGACCCCTGAACAGCATGGGTTTAAATTGTGCGGATCCATTTATACACATATTTTTACAGTACTGCAAATGTCTTTACTCTTATGATTTTCTAACATTTTCTTTTCTGTAGCTTACTTTATTATAAGAATACAATCTATAATGTTGTGTAGAACATACACAATATGCTTAATCAACTTTGTTATCTGTAAGGCTTCTGGTCAACAGTAGGCTATTAGTAATTAAGTTTTTGGGGAGTCAGAAGTAAATGCAGATTTTTGATTACATAGAGGTCAATACCCCTAACCGTGATGTTGTTCAAGAATCAGCTATATGTAATTTTTAACCATTTTCCTATTGGTGGGCATATAGATTTCCATTTCTTTATTGTTAAGAAATTTGTTCGTTTGTACACTTATTTCTGTAGGATACCAAAAAAGTGTAATAATAGCTGGGTCTGCTGCATCTTGATATTTGAAATTTTTGTCATTTATAATCTCTGAATCAATGTTTTCTTATTATAGGACAAAGCAGTGATAGTGAAGATCTTCCTGTCCTAGACAATTCAAGTAAATGTACACCAGTAAAGCATCTTAGTGTGTCTAAGCCACAGAAGCTTGCACGATCTCCTGCAAGAATTTCCCCTCACATCAAAGATGGAGAAAAAGATAAACACAGGGAAAAACATCCAAATTCATCCCCTAGGACATATAAATGGAGCTTTCAACTCAGTAAGTAGCTTTAGAAAACTTGAATGTATTTTGTAAAGTGGTATGTCAAAATAAGAAATAGTGATTACCAAATTCACTTATGTTGGCTTCCAAACACTATCTTATCAATAATCATTACTTATCATCTTAAGTCCAAATCCATATCTTTTCATCATAATACTAACCTGATAAATATTAACTAGAGAAAGATCTTTAGTAATGAAATAAGATGTGTAATGTACATATATCAATGAAGCTGAAATACCCTTTCTAGTACTAACAGCCGGAAATAACCAATGAATGAAAAAATCATCAGTTCAAAGAAACTATTTGGATAAATAACTAGAATTATAGATCAGGGTCGTTGTGTATTGATGTTTTCTTGTGTTTTTCTGATCATTTAAGTAATACATTATTAATATATATTTATTATAAAAAATTTGGGGTATATATAGGAATCTTATTCATGAATTTAATTAAGGTCATCCCTTATTGATTTTAATTAATTAATAAGGAAAGTTTTAAATAAACCAAAGCTTTTAATGATTTAGAAGTTGGAGTTTTGATAGAACTGCCATTTTTTCTCAGGTAATTATTTTAAAAACCTAATTAATTTTTCTTTTCCTTTTTAGATGAATTAGATAATATGAACAGTACAGAGCGAATCTCTTTTCTCCAAGAAAAATTACAGGAAATCAGAAAATATTACATGTCTTTGAAGTCTGAAGTTGCAACCATAGACAGGAGGAGAAAAAGATTAAAAAAGAAAGACAGAGAAGGTAATTTGAGTTTAATTTTTCTTTCCCGTGTTTCAAATATATTCTGTTTTTAGAAGATTTAGGTTATTCTTTGAATATAGTACATATTTATTAACTGTTCTTAGATTTCTAGTGTTACCTTCTTTGTGATATTGTTGAAATGAGGTCAACAACTGAATCAGGAGGAAACTCTTGAAAAGCACTATGAACTGTTTTACAAAATGTGTGATTTTGTTAAATGTCGTGGGTTCTCAAGAAGAGTTACTCCCTCTGAAATTCACTTTTTGCTCAGCAAATGTTTACTGGCTACCTATTAACAGGCACTATATTTGTTATTATGAGATTCACCAAAATTAATGAGCATATGGTTTATTCTCAAAGTGATTTTCTGTCGGCAATCATAAATTATTTCCTAAGGAGCTCAACAACATTAATGCATTCATACTATGCACTAGGCCCTCTTACAGGTGGTAGAAATAGAGAGATGAATGAGATATGGACCTTGATCTCAAAGATATTAACTTCTAGCAGGAGGGTATGTTATGAGGGCCCCAAGAGTGATACTATCAAGTATAGGAGTTGGTGGAAGGAGAGATTACTTTGGATTAATCATGAAGAGAGAGTAGTGTCTGACTTAGACCTTAAAACTATGTAGGACTAACTTAGAGTTAAACATTGCTATGTTCACAGCTACCCCATCTCCAAGCCCCACATAAAATAACAGGAAAGAAAATGAAAAGCCCTGTACCCACAAGAATAAGATAATGGGATAGCAGATCACAGTAGATAAGAAATGTCAATAGAAAAAAAAAAGTCAATAGATTCTCTCTTGGAAGCTGAGGAGGAGATGGACTACTTAGCAGAATGCAAAAACCTAATAAGCTTATTTATCCTTGCATTGGGACAAAACAAGAAATGAGCCAGTCCATACCACATCACTTTATCTCTGAAAGCAAGGATATGGGTGAGGCTAAAAATGGAGATTGGTTGAAAATGGAAGGAGAAACTGGATCCTTTTGTCCCATCCTGTGATACAAACTACCTTCTTCTGCAACTCTAGCAGAAAATAGAAAATTAACTTATTGGAGGGAGAGAGGAATGAATAGGCTTATAGACTCAGGGACACCAGCTATAGTTGAAAGTGAGGGTTATAGGCAAAACCAGAAATAATGAGCCTGAGCAAAAGTTTACAATACTGAATGATGAGACCCCTATCCCTTTTCCAGCTGAAACTCTTATCCTCTTGGCTTCCTGAAAGCTGGCAACTAATAAGCTTATGCTCATTCTTGGGAGGAGACTGAAGGATTCCTCTGGAGAAGCTGGTCAACCCAAGGAACGAACTAACACAGATACCAACATTTAAAGGTTCCTGAATCAAAAAGCAAGATCCTTGCCAATCACTACATATGCATTGCCCATCATTGAAAAGCTCCTCGTATTTGCACACAGCTTCCAGTTAGCTTTTTTTGCTCCCTTCTTAAATATGGGAGCCACAAGACCAGACAGGGAAGGCTCTACAAAAAAGTTAGAAACCAAAGTAGAAAAAGAATAAAGGAACTTCTAAAGAACAATGCAGCATACAAAACACCAAACTAAAATTACTATACAGAGATACAGGAAAGATACTACAGTCTTGAAAAAAAATATGATAGTATTAATGCAATTCAGAGACCAGGAAGGACCTCTCAAAAATTAAAAATATGACAGCAGGAATTTTAAAAATGTAATAGAAGAGATAGCAAAGCTAAAGAAATCCCAGTAGATGGTCGAAAAGGTAATAGGAAAAAATAACTAAGAGAAGCATAGGATCTGTTGAGATCTAACTTCTGAATCACAGAATTTCTAGAAAAAGAGCACTGAATAAACACAGGAGAAAGTTGTCATCAAGTAGTATTTTAAGAAAAATTTCCAGAAATAAAGGATATGAATTAGAAGATTGAAAGGACTCTCACTGTAACATCTCTAAAGAATGGGGGAGAAAAATCATACCAAAGCACATTGTGAAATTTCAGAACACTATGGATAACAAGATTCTAAAAATTTACCATGTAAAGAAAGGCATATCTAAAAAATAGGTGTCAGAACACCATCAAGTTTCTCATGTCAGATTTCTCAGTGGTAGCACTGGAAACTAGAAGCCAAACTAGAAAGTTCAGACAACATAGGATCCACAAAACAAGGAATCCCACTTAGCAAAGCAATAAAGAAAATGTCAAGTTGATGAATGGAAGCGATAGGATGACCACTGCATAGCAGGCCTAGAGAGCCAACTATTCCAGGAATAGGATGGACAGGAGGGAAGGCCTCCAGAAGAGCTAGCTCTTAAAAAGACAAAAAAAGGTAAAGTATGTGATGGGCTTGCCTATTTTGAAGGGGGTTTTCTGCCTGTTGCAGAGGGTTAGGGGATGAATTTTTGATAAAATGACCTGTATCATATATGATCTTGAATCATTCTAGTCCAAGTCCAGCAGTGTTAATTCCCAGAAATAAGATGGAGCAAATGGAAGATTAGGCTTTCCATGTTTGTACTTTTCTTTAATAACTGAAATAGCAAGAAGTCTTTAGAGAGCTTTTAAACGTGCAGTCAAATTAATAAATTGAAATTTCTTCAGAGCACCCTGAACTGCTTTAGGTTTCCTATAGGTGATAGGAGTTTCAGACAACTAAAAAGATTGTTTTATTAGTCTTCCCTTTTTAAATTTTTTGTAGTATAAAGTGATTTATTAAAGTGAGACCCGCCATGTTAGAATTTGTAGTTAATGAGTTACATGTCACACTGGAGTACACATATACACTGAGATACAAAAATTAAAAATTTAAATAGGAACAAATAGGCAAATGTTGGCAGGAGATAGACGAGCTTTGCAAAGAAAGAAAAAAAAACAAAACCCAAAATGGCAAAGTTATGAAATGCATAGAGTAGTGACCCTTAATCTGTGTTACGTCCTCCTAGAGAGTTGTTAAAGTCTTATGAGGACTTTTTTCCTTTTTTTTTAAGATTTTATATTTTCTTAAGTAATCTCTATACCCAATGTAGGGCTCAAACTTATAACCTCAAGGGTTGCACCCTCTCCTTCCAGCTGAGCCATTGCAGGCCACCCTGTGAACACTTTCTTCTAATCACTTCCATTCTGATTCTGATTCCATCATGATTCTGATACCTGACCTAGATAACTGCTGTTGCTTATGGGATGCTGTGTCCATTAGGTCTACTGGGGCAGGAAAAGGGTAGGAAGCTAGTGGATAGCGGGTTATAAGAAATTTTCTGGGATGAGTGAATTCTCTTATAGTCCTAGAACCCAGAGACAAGGGAGGAATTTGCTATAGTGAGAATTTAAGCCAGGTTTACCTTGTTTTGGTTTTGGGGTAAGGTGAGTTCCTTCCAGGGATCGTTCAAGTTAGGGTTTAAGAGTTTACCATCTCTTTAAATCAACATTTTAAGATGCCTTTTTTGAACTGAGTTATTTAACTGATGAGAGACTGATTCCAGTCAGTTGAGCCAAACAATTTTTGCTGACAATGTTATTCCTAAATTTAGGCACCATTTAAGAGGATTGCAATTGAAATGAATAATAAGAAATTTATTTCTAATTTGCCAGTGGCTAGGTATCTTTGATAGTTTTTGGGTCTAATGTAGTTGTTTTGATTCTACAGTGTCTCATGCAGGAGCCTCCATGTCATCTGCTTCGTCAGACACTGGGATGAGTCCCTCATCATCATCTCCCCCACAAAATGTACTTGCTGTAGAATGCAGGTGATAAACGTTTTTCTCTGCCTTCCCAGCAGTTTGCTGCCATGGACATAAATCCTAAAACCCTGAAATACAACCACAGAAAGCACTCAACTGGTTTGACATTGCTAAGTATATCCTGTATACCTTTCCAGGCTGGACTGTATCTATTCCCCCCTCTTTTCTTTTTTTCTGTTGCAAAAAGTAAGCTGATTAATAATTGAAGGTTAGGCAGCCTGCCATATTTGTCTATAATTTTTCCTCTTTAATTTTTTTTCATTTTTTTGTGAAGATAGAAAAAGGGCACTTAGCAAATCTGAATTTGTATAATAAAGCTTTCAACTGTTATAGAAATCATAGACAAGCAAGTGCACATGAAAAACATCAAAATATTATCCAGCTGAATAGTGACTGCTGCACTTTCACTAAGATGTATTTGAACACTTGGTGAGTAGGGGGTTTATGTTGTGGGGTTTTTTTTTTTATTGTTGTTGTTGTTTTTTATTTTTGTGGAAGCACTTGCTATTTAGAACTGCCAAAGTATATGTTCAGCAGTGTGCCCAGGCTTAAAGGTGTAAATGGGACAAAATAAATTGTGAAAGGAAGTGTAGTTGACTGAAAACTACAGTTGTAATAAGTCTTCCACTTTTTATAGGATTTTTGAGCACACAATTATGCAAATATTTTAATGTTTATTAATGTTTACAGTGGAATTGTGAATAAGTTTTCAGTGGACTATCTTATCCCTTGACAAAAATATTTTGTCTTTTTTCTATGTAATTTCAGAGTTTTTATTTTGTTACAAAAAGACAAAAATGAAATATATAACAACAATGAAGTTATTTAACAAGATTTCTAAAGCTGAAAATTTTGTGTAAAATAAGGTATTATCTTGCAACTTGTTAAATATATTTATTCAGACATTGGATGTTGTATTTTTATGTATTTTTTAAAATATTAATAAAATTGAAAAAAAGAAAATTCTAGGTTAATTCACTCTTTGGATGACAGTAGCTCTCAGCTGTCCCTTTTACAGGAGGTTGCATCCAGTAGCTTTGCCTGTGTTGAAGGGAGTCTGTCTCAGTCCTTCAAACAGTATAGAACTATAAATGGGCATCTGGATCATTAAAGTATGTCCTCGTTTAGAAACTTTGGCAGTCCTAGTATTTAAACTGTTTTGAGGATCAAATTTTTGGTTGCCCTTAAGATACTTTGTCATAGTTTTTTGTTTGCTATACTGCCGAATAAATTTCTATCTCCCAAAGTTGAGATGCAACAACTAAGTAAAGCAACTATGTATGCTGTGTCTGTGAATTGTTCCACAGACTGATACGTTTTGTAAATAAGTCCAAAATCATGTATTTAAAGCATTTTTGCCATATACATTATGTAAAAAGGTGATTTTTTAAAATCAGTTTTTAAATTCATGTTTGTACATTGAAAGGGGTTTTTTTTTAACCTCCTTTTCTGTGTTTAATATGCTGTAGAGTAATAACCTAGATGCTCTAGACTGTATATCAGGATCTGATTTACAAGAACAAAGTCAGAGCCAAACACTAGTGATGGCATAGCATTACTGAAATCATTGTTTCTTAATTTCATTTTACCACATTGTGAACTTGTGATTCAGATTCCTTCCATTTTCGCAGAGAATTAAAAAGAAAAAAGTACTCTTGTAAAATGCACTTTTCTGTCTTTTCTTTGCAAAGCAGAAGTATTTCAATGTAAAATAAAAATGGAGCTCAGTGGGCAGTATTAATAAAGGCCATGTTTTAAACATAGGCTTTATATTTTTAGTTTTCATTTAAGTGATTGTTTTTTTCCCAAGTGCCAGTAACTTACAGTTGGAAAATCAGACTTTGCAAAACAAGCATATTCAATATATTCGTCAGTCTTTACAATAAAATATTTCTAGTTCTTAATTATAAAAATGAAAAAAGCGTGTCATTCAAATCCATTTGGAACTAGGAGGCAACCTTAGATTCATATGATCGATATTTTAATGATTTGCTTCAGTAGCAGTTCAGTAAATGAGATGGTAACTAATTATCAGCTTGAATACCATCCCTTCTAATCAATATAAATCTGGTAATGAAGTATTGGGACCTTCCTATAGAGGGCAAAATTATACTCAATGGGTATATGGACACTTAAAATCCTTTTATTTTGGAGACGGAGAGAATTACAAAAGTGAATACTGACTATTCAAATATTAGGCATATTTTGAATTTAGCAAAATTTTGGATAGTACTTACATGTGATTAAAAAAGTAAAAGTATAAAGACACTCTTCAATATCTAAAGTAGAAGGTCCTATCCATAAAATCAGGTTCTTTGAAGATTATGGAGATTTGTTTCACTGTTCCACTGTGTGCTTTTATTGTTTGTTGTGTTTCTAATTTTCCGGTCCTTCACTAAGAAACATGTTTGTTCTTAGCATTTACATATTATGTCTTCTATGAAGTTGCTTTAAATTATGGAAATCCATATAGGTTAAACTATTAATTTGCTTATATATCTTTCTTATAAGTTTTAAAATATACCTTTCTTATAAGCCCTGTAATTTAACCTATCAACACTGTGAAAACATTAAGCTATATTCAACCACACATAAAAGCTTATTACCAGAATTCATTCATTAACAATTTATCGGTTATCTGCTAAGTGCCAGGCACTGAGCTAAAGGCCCAGAAGTTACAGTAATGAACAGGACAGAAAAAAAGGTTCCTGTCTTTAGGCAGTGTATATTCTAATGAGGCATATGTTAAATATAACCAATGTGTTTCTTAACCACAGGTGTGACAAACATACTGAGTTATGGAGTGCCATGAGATCACGATACAGCAGCCCAGCCAGGAACTTGGAAGGCAAGGGTGGTCATGGCAGGCTTTACAGAGAAAGCAACAGTAAAACTGAGCCCCAGTGAGGATAATGAATGGGCTAAACAAAGGAGAGAGATGGGAGAGTAAAATGCTCCCTGGCACATGGGGCTCAGAGGTAATGAGCCAGGGCAAGAATAGACTTGAGGCAGGACGGGCAGGAGCCTGGTCGTGCAGAGCCACTCATTTTGTAAATAATTCTTACAACTCATGTATTTAAAGCAGTTTTGCTGCTTTAAATCCAAACACTGCACCTGCCCACCTCTGCCTCTTGTTCCTCTGTTTCCACCACTCTATCCCTACTTGTCCAGAGCCATCTCAGGAGCCACTTTTCCATGAGCCTTTTGCCAACTTACCATCACCATCTCCTTTTATGCTCTGATAGCATTTTCAATCTATTATTTTACTTGACAACTCATCTTGTATTATGTTTACCTATGCATGTGTCTTTCTACCGTACTAAGGGTTAGTTCCTTAAGTACTTAGTCATACCCAACAAAGTGCCTGATCCAACATCTAATAATACACATAAGATGGTCAAAAACTATGTTGAGAAAAATTACTTTTGAAATGCTATTGTTTGTTTTTTTACCAGTGATTCTTATGTACAAGCCAGATGTGTAGAAGTTGTCTTTGTGGTTCTTTCCAAAAGGTGATAATGATAAAATATCATTTAAAAAGTGAAAAGTAGGGATCCCTGGGTGGCTCAGCGGTTTAGCGCCTGCCTTTGGCCCAGGGCGTGATCCTGGAGACCCAGGATCGAGTCCCACGTCAGGCTCCTGGCATGGAGCCTGCTTCTCCTTCTGCCTGTGTCTCTGCCCCTCTCTCTCTCTCTCTTTCTTGCCTATCATGAATAAATAAATAAAATCTTAAAAAAAATAAAAAATAAAAAGTAGACCTGTTAAACTGTCTCATCCCCAACTCAAAGTATTCTTAAACTGATGGGTTTTTTTTCCCTCCTTGTTTCTTCTTCCCTCTTCCATTACTCCACATGGTTACACAGATTTTTTTATCCTATTAAGAAGACTAATATGTGATGGCATTCATCATTAGTGGAGGTTGATGGACTCTTAAGATGGAGTCTGCGCTAATGGAGAATTTCTAATATATGCTTAGTGTTTTCACACAGTAGAAATTTTTTTTAGTAATTTATATTTCGTTACAACACCAAATGATGTTTTCCTTGTTAAGCACAAAAAGCCTTTTTATTTTTATTTATTTTTATTTTTTTTTTAAATTTTTTATTTTATTTTATTTACGATAGTCATACAGAGAGAGAGAGAGGCAGAGACACAGGCAGAGGGAGAAGCAGGCTCCATGCACCGGGAGCCCGACATGGGATTCGATCCCGGGTCTCCAGGATCGCGCCCTGGGCCAAAGGCAGGCACCAAACCGCTGCGCCACCCAGGGATCCCACAAAAAGCCTTTTTATATATTCATATTAGACCCATTATATCTTAAGTAGAAGGCCAGTGTTCATAATTTTAGAATTTACAGTTAACCTAATTATGAAGCTATCTTCATTTTGTAAACTTTATCACCAAAATTCATTTTGAAAAGTTCTATTGTGAAAAACTTAAAACTTCCATGTAAATATAATAAATGATTATTCTGCACAAGTAATTGGATTTCTTCTCAAGGCTAAGTTATATTAAACAAGACTGATTTAAGAGTCTCACCACTTCATGTTGCCAAATTTGGCAAATAAAAAATCCAGGACATCCAGCTAAATTTGAATTTCAGACAGATAATTTTTTTTTTTTAGTATAAGTATGTCCTATATAAAAATTATGTTATTTACATGATACTGAAATTTAACTAGATACCTGTATTTCACCTGCAAATCTTACAACTAGTTTCTTTTCCACTATATTCCAAGACATATTTATTATCCTCCAGAGAAGCTTTTTTTCAGTCCCCAAATCTTTATGGAGGATAAGAAACTGCTAGTTTATCTTGGTTTCCAAGGATGAGTGGGCCTTGGCAGTCCATAAGTAATTTTTTCAATTAACTTTTCTGATGTAGTCGTTATCTCCAAGATTGGCCCTATAATAATAACTAAGCTTTTTTTTTTATTTTTTATTTATGATAGTCACAGAGAGAGAGAGAGAGAGAGAGAGAGAGAGGCAGAGACACAGGCAGAGGGAGAAGCAGGCTCCATGCACCGGGAGCCTGATGTGGGATTCGATCCTGGATCTCCAGGATCGCGCCCTGGGCCAAAGGCAGGCACCAAACCGCTGTGCCACCCAGGGATCCCAATAACTAAGCTTTTGATAAAATAGTTGTGAATGCACTCAGACTTCACTGGTGGTTTTTCTTTGATGGGGCACTTTTCCCACCAAGTGGTAACTGCTTTCTGAAATTCTCTTGGATTCCTATCCAGACCTGCTCTCAAAAACCCTACCTAAGGGGATCCCTGGGTGGCTCAGCGGTTTAGCGCCTGCCTTCAGCCCAGGGTGTGATCCTGGAGTCACAGGATCGAGTCCCACATCGGGCTCCCTGCACGGAGCCTGCTTCTATCTCTATGTCTCTGCCTCTCTCTGTGTCTCTCATGAATAAGTAAATAAAATTTTTTTTTTAAAAAAAGATTATTCTTTGCAGCATGGTTTGTGCTGATCAAACATTTTAAATGCCCATGAAGAGAAGGATAAATTATGGCTAATTGCAATACCACAGAGCAGTTAAAATAGGTGGACTAGAGTTTAATGTATCAACATGAATAAATTTCAAAAACAAATGAGTGAAAAAAAAAGATGTCAAACAATACATACATCTCTACAAAATTTAAAGATGCAAAACAATACACTGGCTTTGTTTATGCAGCCATAAGTATAAAAACCTGAGTGTGAATGATGAACACCCAAATTCAGGAATGGTTTTGTCTGGAGAATAGGGAAAGGAACAGGGGAGGGTATATGGGGGCATTTATTCCCTCCTCCAAAAAAAAAAATGTAAAGCAAATATCACAAAATGCTAAGATTTGATAACTTGTTTATATTATTCTCAATCCTTTACTATATTTGACATATTTCATAATTAGGAAAAAAATCTAATGAACTACTGCACAGTAAGGTGAAGATAACTGATGGAACTGAATACCACTATCATTGAGTCAAGGTCCACACATGGTCTCAATCCTATGAGAAAAGCATTGCTATTTTATTTTGACACATAAGGAAACCAGTTCCAAATGGTCAAGGGAATGATAAGTAGAATTAGGATGCCAGCCCATTTCTTCTGGTTCCCAAGTCCAGTATTTGTTTCATTACATTACTGTCCTAAGAAGCTTCTGTTCCCTGAGAATAATGGTTGCATTTTTAACAAAAACATCATCATTTTAAATGACTATTAGAAAACTTATGGGTCTGGGATTCTCCTTAATAAGATTTTATAAGCACTCTTTTTATAATTGGCTAACTTTGAACATGGCAAGTCATTTGACTTTTCTAAGTGTCAGTTTTCTTACCTATAAAGAAAGTTTAGATTCTGAAATTCTGCTTTTAATGATTAATCTCAATTTGAGACATTTAAATGGTTTTAAATCTATTTTTTTTTGAGTGGGTAATACATCTATATGGTTCAAAACAGAAAGGACACAAGGCTACATGACCATCTCCCACCTCCGTGCCTTACTTTCCCTTTCTCGGAGGCAACCAATGTTACCAGTTATCCTTCTGAAAACATCTATGCTTCCTGATTATTTTTACAGCTACGTAGTATTCTACTATACCAATGTACCACAATTTGTTTATCTAGGCCTATAATGATGGACATTGTGGTTAGTTCTCATTTTTATTATAAACAGTGCTGCAACTAATAGCCTTATACTAGAACTCAAGTTTCATGAGGTCAGTGTTTTTTTTTTTTTTCAGTCTGGTGAAAGCAATGAGAGATTGCTGCTTT